GCATCAGCCCCGTGTTCTAGATATTGGCTGGGTAAGGGTCCAAGGCTGCAGTGGTGCTGGGAAGAGCTGGAGTGATACAGGAAAATGAAATGAGTCACTTTTTCCAAAGAGTGGGGAACATTTCCATTAGCAAAACTTCAAGAGAAAAGTTCTTTATTCTGTCTGGGAGTGTCCTCGGGGTTAAGGGCCATTTGGTTTTCTGATAAATAACCTCTCCAGTTGTCTGAAAATATTAGTAACCACTCATTAGTCATTTTACTAATTTATTTTATTGGGCTTTTAAGTTAAAAAGTAATACACAATTGTCACAATGAGTTGAATTAGGCGGGTGTGTTTTAAAAGATTTATCACCTCCTCACCTACACTGTGTATGTATGCTAAGACTGCTTCAGTCATGTCTGACTCTGTGCGACCCCATGGACTGTGGCCCATGCCCTCCTTCAGAGGATGTTCTTCACCCAGGGACTGAACCAGGTCTCCAGTGTCTCCTGCATTGGCAGGCAGTTTCTTAACCATCAGCGCCACCTTCCTATAGAATATTGTGCAGCTATTAAAAAGATACAGTATTCTATTTTAGTGAAAAAATTATAATGTGTGTAGTGCAATTCCACTGTTTAGTTTTAAAATAATAAAATAAAAAAGACAGTTATATACATGTATGTAAATTTATATATGAAAAATAAAGGCATAGATGTCCAAGTCACTCCCATAGAAAACCAAGATTAGGGATCTGAAGTGAACCCTTCTGTGCCTTTTATGTTTCATATACAAATTTACATACATACACATACATATACATATACATATACATATATGTTTTTGTATTATTTTAAAACCAAATGGAATTACATTATACACATTACTTTATAATTTTTTTGCTAAATAGAATATTGTATCTTTTTAATAGCTGCATAATATTCTATAGGATTGATATAACAAACTTTATTCAGTCAATCCTTATTGATGGATATTCAGGCTGTTTCCATCTTTGTTTTCTTTCTATTTTTTTCATTGACATAATACTACATTCAACATCCATATGTGTCTATCTTTACATACTGATGCTTTTATTTTGGTAGAATAGAGTACTAAAAGTGGAGTCCTGAGCCAACATATAAGTGCATTTAAAATTTCAATAGGTGACATCAGGTTACTTTCCTGAAAAGCTTTTAACAATTTGTACTTCCACCAACCATGTTGTACAATGTCTGACCCTCCACATTGGATGGTATCAGGCTTTAATTCTTACCAGCTGGATAGGTGACATTATCTGTTTGTTGAGTACTCTTTGAGAAAAAACCTCTTTTCGAAAAATTATTTCATAAAGTTTACATCTTCAATATAGGCATTTATGTTAAACATATCACACGCACACAACACATATAACCTGTTTCTACTGCTGACTTTTTTCGTTCTTTTTGACTGGTAGCATGTTGAGTGGATCTGCTGGTAGAGGACCTATGCATAAGAAGGGATTGGCAAATCCAGATAAAGGGAGGATTGAAGTGTAAGTTTTCACTCTTTGCTTCACTCTTTTTATCAGGGCCAGGATATGAGGATGGGCATGTGAGCTTCCAGTCCTTGCTTATCAAAGCGGACCCTTTCTTAATGGCATGATAGAATGGTCTCTTCTTCATGGCAACCCATTGTCTTTGAGTGACAACACCTGTGCTCTCATAATTCTGGAGACTCTAGAAAGAATTACTGAAAAATATTCTGTGACAGGTAGTTGGAAGCTATGCATTCCCCGGTCAGGCTGTCAACTCATCAGGAGAGAGGCAAGCTCAAGTCTTGGTGAAGGGGATGGAGTCTGGGGACTGCTTTTGTTTGAATCCTGGCTCTGCTACTGTCCAGCTGTGCGACTTTAGGCAAGTTAATTAACTTCTCTGTTGATTCAGTTTTCTTATCATAAATGCAGATAGTAATAGCTCCTGTCTCATAGGATTGGTGCCAGGACTAGGGATGGGAGTTAATATGAATTCAATAATAAATAAAGCACTTCAAGTAGTGCCTGGTACACAGTAAGGCCTATGTACATGTTTGCTATTATTATTATTAATTTTTATTGTTCCTGATTGAAACAGTGACAGTTCCCATTGAAATGGGTTCTAGTGACACATAGTCATGAAGGGGGGCAGCTCTCCTGGATGAAAGGTAAAGAAAAGGGCTGTAGAGAGGACAGCCACAATGGAGTGCAGACAGTCATTTATCACGTAGATCCCGTGCATTTTGTGCCTGGCTTCTGACTTTCTGGGAATGGACTTGACTGAGGCAAAGAGGGTGGTCCCCAGCTGTGAAGTGACCCCAGTTCATCTCTGATATCCTCTACCCCCGTGGCCCCTTGCTGCTGCTTCCGCATCTTTATCTCATTTTTGGTCCCCAGCAATACCGGATAAAGCATTTTCATAACTGCTTTCCTGAGGGAGAAAATAAGTGAAAAATTTGCGTGTGTCTTCCCAAAAGGAGCAGTGATGTGGGCTTCTCAGCTTCTGGCTCCTGAGCTCATAGATCTTCAAGTTGGGGGCAATCAGAATGGACTCATATAAGCGTGAGTCAAACCATTTTGATCTGAGAAGACTGAACATGGTGAACCATGGACAAATCCAGTAGTTTACAGGGTCCATGAGGCAGGGGGATTTGCCTTATGTTTTGTGGGGAATGTGTTTATTTAAGCAGAACAGCAATCAAGTATTGAACGACTTTAGTGGGAAAATGTTTACAGTGTTGCAGGAAGTGACAACTAATGATAATAATGACAATACATAAGTTGAAAAATACTGAAAGAAACACACCAAAATGTTAATTGCCGTTACCTTGGATTGGTGTGATTATTGGTGCTTTTGTTTTCTTCTTTATGTATATGTGTGTGTGTATGTATGTATTATATATATTTATACCATTTCTATATACAGATTTAAGTTTTTCCAAAATGAATATATATTATTTTCTTTGATAGAAAATGAGATAGAGTAATTACAGACTGTAACCAATAAAGCTATTGATATAGAAACAGCCTAAATGGCTATAATAGGGAGCTGAAATAACAAAACGAAACTGTGGTACATCTGTATAATGAAGTACAATACAGTTTTCAGGGAGGTCATAGAGTAAAATTAAAAGGTTTTCATTATATGTTGTTAAGTGAAAAAAGTAGCATGGGAAACTAGGAAAAGCTCACGGGCAGTAGGGAAGACCCAGCACAGCCAAAAATAAATAAATAAAAATTTTTAAAAAGTAGCATAAGAAACAATAAGATTGGTGTGATTATTGGTGCTTTTGTTTTCTTCTTTATGTATATGTGTGTGTGTGTATGTATGTATTATATATATTTATACCATTTCTATATACAGACTTAAGTTTTTCCAAAATGAATATATATTATTTTCTTTGATAGAAAATGAGATAGAGTAATTACAGACTGTAACCAATAAAGCTATTAATATAGAATCAGCCTAAATGGCTGTAATAGGGAGCTGAAATAACAAAATGAAACTGTGGTACATCTGTATAATGAAGTACAATACAATTTTCAGGGAGGTCATAGAGTAAAATTAAAAGGTTTTCATTATATGTTGTTAAGTGAAAAAAGTAGCATGGGAAACTAGGAAAAGCTCACGGGCAGTAGGGAAGACCCAGCACAGCCAAAAATAAATAAATAAAAATTTTTAAAAGTAGCATAAGAAACAATATATAGTAAATGCTACATTGCATATGTAAATATATATAAATAATATATATGTGAAAAGTGAAAGTGAAAGTCACTCACTCATGACTAACTCTGCCACCCCATGGACTATAGAGTCCATGGAATTCTCCAGGCCAGAATACTGGAGTTGGGTAGCCTTTCCCTTCTCCAGGGGACCTTCCCAGCCTAGGTCTCCTGCATTGCAGGTGGATTCTTTACCAACTAAGCCACAAGGGAAGGAAGCCCAAATGTATATATAAATTAACATAAATTTCAGGAACAGCATAAATGAAAATGTTATGACAAATGGGATTATTGGGGTTTCTTTTATTTTTTGCTTACCTGAATTTTCTAATTTTCTGCAATAAAACATGGATTACCTACACAATAAGTGAGTGTTTATATAACTTAAAAAAATAGACATCCAAAGACTATTCTTAGGGCAATAAAATCCTCTAAGAGTTGGTGACAAATTATATGCTTATTGAGCTGTGTTGCCATCTGGTGGCTCAAAAGCAAAAACTCACTCTTCTTTCTGCAGCTTGCATTTGGAATTAGGAAATGAAAGCCAAATACTGTGTCATGTTTCAGATGAATGCCTAGACAGTTTTAGCAAGTTAATGAAAGTGTTCCTTTGATTCACAGGAAAAAAGAAGTAACCTGGTGACCAAGCAAGAACCTGATCATGGGTGTAGTGTTGAATTTTACTTAAAAAATTAAACAATCTCTGTTTTGCTAAATGTGTTTGCAGGCATGTTCATCCATAAAGACAGTTCTGAGTTATCCATTTTACGGGTGATTCAGGGCAAAATTTCCTTCCTAACCTATTTTTTTTTTCAACTAGTTGACATAGTAAGCAACCTGTAACAACACTACAAATGTTTGTGGAATGAATGATCCCTTCTGGCTGACTTAATCCAACTAACAGTTGGTGCATTTTCATGGACCATAAATTAATTTAGAGATGAACCAGCTGAAGCACTAGTTTCCTTGACATGCAAACATAAAATAATAAAATGCTTCACAAAGCCCAGCGATGGGTGTAGTTTAGTGCCATTCTGAATCAGCTACCCTGCTCACCCCTCACCATCCTAGAACGCACTCCTGAAATTCATCCAGCCCACTCACTGAATTTAACTTTTCCCTCTCACCTTTCTGCTTCTGTGTGTAAAATCTAAACATTTGGACAGTGCCTCTGGGGAAAAGCATTGTTCATGCCTACCCTACACCATTGTTCTGAGTTGCCCAGGAAGCCAAGTGGCCGGTAGATGGTTGCTTTTGAGAACTAACCCTTGCTTTCCTTACCACCCTGCAGGTGAGCTGATCAATCTGGCTATGTACTGTGAGAGGATAAGGAGAAAATTCTGGCCCGAGTGGCACCACGAGGATGACAACACCATCTACGAGTCAGAGGAGAGCAGTGAAGGAAGCAAGACACACACGCCCCTGCTGGATTTCAGCTTTTACTCAAGGACAGAGACCTTTGAAGACGAGGGAGCAGAGAACAGTTTTTCCAGAACCCCAGACACAGATTTCACTGGACACTCGCTCTTTGACTCCGACGTGGACATGGATGACTACACAGACCACGAACAATGCAAGTGACGGTCAGCCTTGCTGACCCTCCTTTGCTGGAGCTGCCTCTCCCTGGGGTCCGTCCAGCTTCCCAGGCAGAAATCCATCGAGCTGGGAGCAGATCTTCATGCTCGGCACGGTTCTCGCAAGCTAACTGGAGTAGGGCAGCCTTATTCCTCTTTTGTACAAACCAGACACAGAACCATTCCTATGGCTCCCTTTAAAACAAAGAGGCAAAAAAATAAAAAAGTCAGCATGGTTCCTAAAATTCATTTTTGTTTTCATTAGAAAACTAACGTTGTGTGGTAGAGCAGGTGCAAGAGCGGGTTGTCCACAGACTGCTTAGACATTGGTCCCCTGCAACCCAAGGGCTTAGGTGTGAGCTGGATCCTTGAACGTCCTTCATCTGGTAGGATTCAGAGTCGTGAGTGATGTCATCAGAAGGAATGCAGGAGATAAGTGTTCTTTGGTGGCCGCTTGTATTTTCTGTGTGTATATTGTATGTTGAAATATAAGTCAAATAAAATCCATAGATATTCAGTGAACACCTACTACATGCAAAGCACTGTGCTAGGTGCTAGCCAGTATTGGTTTTATCCTAAGCCCTGCCAGTGACTAGCTATGTGATTCTGGGCAAGACCCTTAATTCTTGTGTGCCTCATTTCCCCCGCCTGTAATGTGGGGGTGACTATAGTCTCCACCTACCTACCTCACAGGGGTGATGTGAGGATTCATGTGGTAACATTTGGCGCTTTAAACCTCGAGGACGAGGTGTGACATAAACACATTTTGTTCTTTAATGTGCTTCGTGCGTGTGAAGATCGGCGGGCGGAGGAATTCCATATTCAGGCAACAGCAGCCACGGTCTCTCGCCCAAGCCGAGCCGATGGAACTCACACCAAGGCACAGTTAGGACGCGTTCATCATCCTCTTTGTGATCTTGCTTGAATTGAAACCTTTCATTGAAAGAACCTTGGAAATATTTTTACAGATCATCAACAGCTACAAACAGTCTTCAATTCTACTGTATATTTGCGGAGAAGTCTCTTTTGTTGCCTGAACTCACACTGGAAAGCTGTCTCTTGTTGATTCTGGATTGTTAAGTTGCCTACGTTTGATTTACTTGATAAAGCTCAGGAATAAGATCTATTTAATAGAGGTGAAGGGAAAAGGATTTGATTGATTTTTTTTTTTTAAGCAGAAGCTCGCCAACTTGTAATGTCTTTTTTGAAAACAAACTTTGCAAGATGTACTGAAAAGATGAAGAAGGAAGAGGATCGTTGTAAATGATTAGCAGGGCACTTTGTGTTGTGTAGACTCTATGCAGTTTTTATTAATGCAACTTTTCTGGTCTTCTCAGCCCTTGTGCAGTGAGGGGAAGCCAATGCTGAGAAGAATCTTAATGTTTCTTAAGGGTTTCCCTCCCCTTCCTGTCCTCTCTTTCCCTCCCCATAGAGCACCTGAACTCTTGGGGTTACAGTGTTGACTAAGGCACTCTATCTCTGAAGACATAGTTTTGGTTGACTTAGAACATCTTCCAGTGAAATATGGGGTGAAGATCCTGGGGTGATGGCTGTGGATTTGGGCTTCTGACCACAACTGCCTGAGGGAGGGCTATTCCTAATGGGGTTAAAAAGGAACTTCTTAAAAGACAGCAACTTCTGAGAAGTTCATATACTTTATTTGAAAAAGACTCTGAATATAGTTTTGGCAAAACAGTCCTAGAATGCCGTGGATTCACAAAGACATAATGGGAGAGAGTATTTGAGGTGATTTACCGTTTAAGCAATGTGTAACTAGGAAGAAGTGCTGAAACACTCTAAGCTGGACATTTTTATTCCACATAAAACTCAGTTGTTAGTATCTTATCAAACCTTTCATCTTTGAGGGGACTGTTTGATGCCTAACGAGAATGTGTTAGAAGATATATGAATGGATAAGCCTATTTTGTTTCCAGCATCATTTCCAGGATTACCCACCTCTTATCTCTCTAGCAAATGCATTCCAGGACCAACTGGTGGTAATTCTGTGTGACAGGGGAAGTCCTGGCTTGAAAATGTGGAGTCGACAGACTGTGGACCTAGCACTGCTAAGACTGAGTTGCCCTTTCTCCATCTTCAGTTGGAAAGAGTTGGGTTTGAAATTTTGTCTATAATTTATTCTTCCTGTATAGCACAAAGTATACTGTATCTTCATGCTAAGAAGTTTTAAGTTATGAGTATGTGGGGTCACAGATATTTATTATTTTGTATTACTTGGAGGGCACATCCATGGAGAACCAACATTAAATATGTGAAACCTTCATTCATTCTCTCCAGGTGCCTCCCACAGGGGCTGAGTCCTGGGTACTGCCCGAAAACTCATGTTTGGGTATTCAGCATTTTGTAGGTATAACTTGATTAGGAACCCTAGAACATACCCAGGTTTTACTTTCCCAAAGTGGGTTTTGGAAAAGTAATGACTAAGACAAAACCCACAGTAGTGTGGGCAACTTATGCAGTCTTGATTAGGTGGGCTTTAATTTTATATGTTTCATTCTTAGGCTGCCCAGATTGAACTGTTCTCTTATTTGATGAACAGGTGCTACTTATAAGAAAAATAACAAGAAATTAGGGGATGTTTTGGTCATCTGACTCTCTTGTTCAAGTTCTGTATTTCTTTTTTATTGGAGGATAACTTAAGGAAATGTGATCTTTAATGCAAGAGGTGCTTTTGGATGGCCAGAAGACCTGTGGGCTACCTGTTCTTTTTTACCTCTCATTGTAAAATTAAATTCTATCTTTTTCGCCACCTCCCTTTGCCCCACCCCACCCTCATCTCCACTTGTCTGGATGAAGGAGCAGCCAAATTATACTTTGCTTTGCTTATGTCAGAGTAGATACAAGGATGATTTAAATTTATGCAGAGGTAAACCATATTGCCAGAGGTTCCCATTTCTTTTGTAACATCATGATTTGTGAATATTAATGTTACCAAGGCAATGGGCTACCCAGCTGACTGATCACAGACTTAGAACAATTGGACTTGAACCAGAACTTGAGTCTTGTCCTCACGTGAGCCCTACTTGTGTGTACTGAGGTATGAGGATATATGTTTGTGAAACAACTAAGGTTCAAGGAAAGGAGGTGTTAAGGATTATAGCTGTGGGAATCTTGCCCAGATTACTCGAGAGAAGGTATAGACTCATAGACATAGATAGCTGAGTGGTGGATTTGCTCTGGAAAGCCATATTTATTTGAAGGGCAGGCCCAGAACTGAGGTCTTTCACCTTGCCTTACAGAGTTCTTGCCATTACATCAGCTTGACTCGGATTATTTTTAAAACCACCTCCCCAAGAGCTCACTCCACGTTTGTAGAACCAGCGCATCCCAGCCTCTCAGAGAGTGCTCGAAATCGATCAGCCTTATCCCCTGTATCTCTTCACCCGGGTCAGTTCAAGGGATCTTTGTTCGGTATCTACTCTGTACAAAGTGCTGCCTGTGCTCTGTGAATGTCACCAAGATGGACATGTAAGTTACCAAGACCCTTATTCTTGGATTGGATCTTTTAAGGAATCCGTGCCCATGTGATCTCTCACTGGGTTTTAGTTACTCACTGATGATGGGCTTCCTTGGTGGCTCAGCAGTCAAGAGTCTGCCTGCAATGCAGGAAACTCAGGAAATGTGGATTCAATCCCTGGCTTGGGAAGATCCCCCGGAGGAGGAAATGGCAGCCCACTCCAGTATTCCTGCTGGGAAAGTCCCATAGACAGAGGAACCTGGCGGGCTAGAGTCCATGAGTTTGCAGAGTTGGACACGACTGAGCACACATACAGTGGTTTTTAATTTTTGTGTCTCCATTGATAATCTAATGCAAGTCCTATGCCCTAGTCCCAGAAAAATATGGAGATATATGAAATTTTGCATATAAGTTCAGGAGATCTAGAAATGTCTTGAAATTACCTGTGGATTCCTTAGGGGGTTCATGGACCACAGTTGAAGAAACCTTGTTTGAAAAACAGTCTTTAAAAGTTAACTGCTGTTAGTGTTCATTTTTGCTTGCTTTTATCCCAGCCAGACAGGAGATGAATTAGAATGGCAGGTGCAAGCACAAGGAATCTGTATCGTTATCCACATGGAGAGTGCTCTGTGACAAGGAAGGAAGAAGAGGCGCCTCACGTTGAGAAAATATCCTTCTTCTGACAAGTTTGGCATTTTGAAAGTGAAAGGATTTTGTTGTCATCATCACTGTCATCTACCTTCTAACCACCCAGAATGTTGATTTTGCAAAATCAGTTCAGGGACAGGGGCGTCATTTCAGCCCTGAAACCCACCACCTCTGCATGGATAAGCTGATTGGTCTGTGGCTTAAGGCGGGAGAGAAGAAGCTGAATTTTTCCTTATAGGAATAAGTTCTGCACAATCAGATTTTTTTTTAAATTAATTAATTGAACAACTGTTGAGTGTATTTTCAATAAAAGGATGGTGCCTTTGGTTGATAGGGAACAACTCAGGCTCTTCCTCTTCTTTTTCTTTCTCTTCTCCTTCATCTCCCCCCTCCACTCCCTCCTTCCTCTCCTCCTCTTCCTCTTTTTTTTTTTTTTAACATGGGTGAGACTATTTTCATTGCTCCTGGCTATTACCCAGGATCCTTTGTTCTCCTGTCTATGCAGTGCTATTTAAGAAGAACAGGGACTGATGAAAGTACATTCAATGACAAATACTTCTTGAGTCTAAATGTGGAACTCTGGCAACCCATTTCTAACAGGTCCAGGATCAATTGCCTGTGACTGTGGTATGCTTGACCTTTATTCATTTACTTTTGATGGTCTGGATGCAATTTGCAAAGTTTAAAAGGACCACTTGGTGTGTGAGCAGGAGGCTCCTCTGGATGGCAGAACCCTTGCTAGTGCCAGGAGTAATGCAAATGGATGTGGGGTTTTCTTCATTTTTTTTAGGTTTTTAGTCCCTGACTTTAAAGAATATCTTAAAGGTAATTAAGGCATTTTAATCTTTAAGATAACTGGAACCAGCAACACATTGGCCTTGCCCCATAAAGAAGGTTACAGAGAATACTGAAAGTAGTGTGAAAGGAAGTAACTCACTGTTTTGGGGCTGACAGTATGACCTCCTTAACCATTCTGGCTCTGGCCAAACAGGGACCTTGTCCCCAGACCAGAGCTCTCTGAAACTTCTGCTGCTGGCTAGACCATTTGGATGCTCAAATGTCGAGTGGATTATTGCCCCTAATTATCAAATTTGTAGACAAATAAAGGGGACCATTGCAATAATAAAACAGCTTATGAATATGGTCCAGCCAGCACCAACACTCCTGATTATTTTCATGGGGAAACAAGTTATCTAGAGACAAACATTGGTACAGTACTTAGGTGTTCCATACACATTTAATTTCAGCAATTAGCTTACTTATTGTTATAATGTTCTTCTTAAATATTTTTCAACTGCTCTTGTCCCTAATTACAGCTTTAAATATTTTGAAACAATTCACTAGCTATAGAGCAATATATATTTATGATGCTATTTCATTTTATGAAAAGTAGTATTAC